TTGCAGTGATGCCATAGAAGAACCATTCTGAGTTGCATTTCAGTAAATTAATGAATGAATGAATCAACAAATAAATATGTAGTTATATGTATGATATATTTCTACTTTATAAAAATATTTCAATTTTATCATATGAAATATTTCAATATGATAACTGGTAAAATGTTTTTGCTTATGTTCATTTAGTTATTAATTTAGTTGTGTATAAAATATACCTGGCATATATATATTTGTTTGTTTAATTAAATATTTCTTTATATTTAATTCTTTATTATATAATATAAAAAATTATAATTATTTATAATCTTTATTAAAAATACACCGTTTTAACTATATTAACACATTTTCATTTATATGCACAACATAACATTGTAATAAACAGATTATGTTAATTATTTAAAGCAGGTAAAATGTACAATTGAATCAGTGAGTCTGTATTTTGATTCATGGAGAGTTTGCTGAAACTGATTCATTGAAATTATTATCTTTTTTACTGCAACATACAAAATCATCTCAATATTCTTGACTTTTATATCACGAACAAAATCTCTATATCTAGTTTATCATGAATATTTGATCAATCACCCAGTCCTAATGGTTATTTAATATCTGTAAAGAATTATGTGCATTTTAACAATTTTTTTAATGTTTTACACTCTAAAAAAGGACTGGGTTGTATTTAACCCAGCATTTTTAGAGTGTAAGGTTGCTACAAAACCTAGACTTTTTCGGGCTTGCAGAACTACTGCCCTATATAATAAATCCATCATAATTGGTCAAGACTTAATGGGTTTAAACCCATTAAAACACAACAGTCATTAAGAAGCTACACTCTAAAAAATACTGGGTTAAATACCAAATATTCTGTTTATTCTGTATCAAAATGAGCCAGATGGGCCTGTCTACAATTGTTCGGTGATTTCACTGCCATTGTTGTTTTGTCTTAAAAGCCACATCTTAATTGGGACCACTTGTCTCAAGTGTGGTTGCCAATTATATTTGCTTGCACTGCTGTCAGTTCTATTTTATGATGTAGCAGCCTTAATTCATCTGGAGAACAGCATGTTCTCAAACTTTGTCATTTTCATGTCTCAAATGGTGGTAATAGTACTTTAGACTGCACAGTATTGCTAAAAAAATATCAATCTCAATGTTTTTTTTTTATAAGAGGAATTATAATCATAAAATAAAACAATTTTGCCAAGTAGCTTCAACATTAAAGCAAGGATACATTTCAGTAAATTAATGAATGAATGAATCAACAAATAAATATGTAGTTATATGTATGATATATTTCTACTTTATAAAAATATTTCAATTTTATCATATGAAATATTTCAATATGATAACTGGTAAAATGTTTTTGCTTATGTTCATTTAGTTATTAATTTAGTTGTGTATAAAATATACCTGGCATATATATATTTGTTTGTTTAATTAAATATTTCTTTATATTTAATTCTTTATTATATAATATAAAAAATTATAATTATTTATAATCTTTATTAAAAATACACCGTTTTAACTATATTAACACATTTTCATTTATATGCACAACATAACATTGTAATAAACAGATTATGTTAATTATTTAAAGCAGGTAAAATGTACAATTGAATCAGTGAGTCTGTATTTTGATTCATGGAGAGTTTGCTGAAACTGATTCATTGAAATTATTATCTTTTTTACTGCAACATACAAAATCATCTCAATATTCTTGACTTTTATATCACGAACAAAATCTCTATATCTAGTTTATCATGAATATTTGATCAATCACCCAGTCCTAATGGTTATTTAATATCTGTAAAGAATTATGTGCATTTTAACAATTTTTTTAATGTTTTACACTCTAAAAAAGGACTGGGTTGTATTTAACCCAGCATTTTTTACAACCCAGTCTCATAAAAATACGTACCTCTGCGTACATTTCTGCAACACCGTTTTTACGTACCTTACTGCACATTTCGCCGCAGTTTCAAAGAGAAATGTCCACTGAATGGCTCTAAAACACGGGTTCAATACGTGAAGCCTGGCACGTTTTTATTACGTTGATATAGGTACGTATTGCTGTGTTTTTATTACATTGATATAGGTACGTATTGCTGTGTTTTTATTACGTTGCTTCAGGTACGTATTGCGGCGATTCAGAATTCAAATATCCGGGGACTGTCGCTAAAAGTTAATGCTGTGTCGTGTTGGAAATATTCCCTACACCAAACCCAACCCTAAACCTACCCAATAGTGTTAACAAATGCAAAGCTGATATAAAAACACATTTTTTGATGCAACCGTGCCATTTTAACTTCATTATATGCAGATTTGCACTGTTTTGTCAAACCGTAGTTACACGGGATTATTACGTTGCTTCAGGTACGTATTGCGGCGATTCAGAATTCAAATATCCGGGGACTGTCGCTAAAAGTTAATGCTGTGTCGTGTTGGAAATATTCCCTACACCAAACCCAACCCTAAACCTACCCAATAGTGTTAACAAATGCAAAGCTGATATAAAAACACATTTTTTGATGCAACCGTGCCATTTTAACTTCATTATATGCAGATTTGCACTGTTTTGTCAAACCGTAGTTACACGGGATTTGAACCAGAGCTCCTCACCTCTTAAGTACGTCTCCGTACTCCGTGAGCTACCAAACAAACCTATCGTCTATGAAAACCCATTGATATGAAGCTGGATATGTGCGGTGCTAACAATCAAAGCATCAGTTTTCAAATCTCCCAGCATATTAAAAATGTTTGAAGTCACAACATAATACTCTTCAAGTAATTGTGTGAAAATTACGCTTTTTTTAACCAAAACTCTGTAAATCATACTCTGTGTGAAAATAATTTAAAAGGTGTCGGAGTTTTACTGCCTCTAGTGTTCTTTTTTTTTTGGAAACTGCAGTGATATGTACTTATTGGTACGTATTTGCCATGAGACCGGGTAGATTTTTTAGAGTGTAGATAACCATTTCTACATGAGATAAGGTGTATTAACTTGGACATAATGGTTGCTCTGTAAAATGACCAGAGAGTGTGAATTTTGTTTTGAAAATGGTCTTTGTGAAGTGTTTCTTGTCTAAGCATCATTTGCGCTCGCTGCTTTAACCAAAACTCTGTAAATCATACTCTGTGTGAAAATAATTTAAAAGGTGTCGGAGTTTTACTGCCTCTAGTGTTCTTTTTTTTTTGGAAACTGCAGTGATATGTACTTATTGGTACGTATTTCGCGTCTTGAAAAAATGTGCCCCCAGGTACGTATTTGCCATGAGACCGGGTAGATTTTTTTAGAGTGTAGATAACCATTTCTACATGAGATAAGGTGTATTAACTTGGACATAATGGTTGCTCTGTAAAATGACCAGAGAGTGTGAATTTTGTTTTGAAAATGGTCTTTGTGAAGTGTTTCTTGTCTAAGCATCATTTGCGCTCGCTGCATGAGGGTGTAAGTGATGTGTGCCCATAAACGCATTCCTGTTAAATGAGGGCTTATTGTGAGGGAAATACTTTTACTGCTATTTCATATGATTGCATGGGTTTGCATCCGTAGATGTGCCATCATTTCGGTCCTTCAAGCAATAAAGCGATTTTAGTATATTGTTCTTCAGATGCTTTACAGTGATAGGGTAAGAATATCGTTTTTGGCTGTGATTGGAATAGCATAACAATATGCCATCTTAATATTTTCTAATCCTCACTTGCATATTTATAATTTAATGTGAACACTGGAGTCTGTAGAGGAAAGTCTGGCATATAAGGCTTATAATGTGGTCCCATGAGTGAGCTGTAAAAAATATATCTATTTTGAAGAAAGTTTATGCTAATATGTTACATAGACCTGTCAGATTTTGAGACCCTAAATTGGCCTTTTCATTAAAAAAAAAAGGGCAATTGCCCTCTTCTCAAGGAACGTCTTAGAGGGCAAGTAATATATTGGTAATGTCGTGGAGTGACAACCGTTTTATGCCTCTGTCACCACAGACAAACGCGCCTTTTCTCTCCAGCTCTGACAGCATTCCCAGACTGCAAAATCAAGTAGGTTGAAACTAAGTGAGTGACAATGACTCTAAAAGATGCTAGAGGGTTTGGGTTTTGTTGAGGTAGACATCATGGGGAATGTGAGGTTCTGCGAATGGACTGAGATTTCTTATGTATTCAGACTGAAGTGAATTACTTTCTATTTATGCACAGGATCTCAATTGTTTTATTCACCCAACTTTTTTTAAATTATTAGGACAATTTAAGAATAAGGTTAATCTAAATTAAAAACTATTGTAGTTTTTTATTAATATTTACATTCTCCGTTTTCATTTTAATTGTAGTTAATTGTTTTAGAAATGTTGTTGTTTTTTGGTATTTATTTTTAAAATATATATCTTATATATATCTCATTTTATTACAGTTTGAGTTATTTCATTACATCAAGTTAAACTAAATTAAAATGAGAAATGTTGATTTGTTGTTCAGTTTTGCTATTAATTAACTATAATAGCCCTATATAGTATATTATGTGTATTAAGAGTTTTTTTTAATTAAATTAAATTGATTAACTTTTGGTTACTTTTAATTGTGGAATAAGTGGAGCTGCCAAAGTTAGCATGTTAACGTAAGATTGGTTAAACATACATTTGTATTTGAATGCTTTTACTTTGGCATCAAAATAAATTCAGTTGATTAATTTAACATTTAATTTATAATGAATTTAATTCAGATTGGACATTTAAGAAAAGTAAAGTGATTAGCAATGTTAGTATTGAGAAATTAATTGTCAGTGAAGTTAAACAGTACACTCTAAAAAATGCTGGGTTAAATATAACACAATGCTGGGTTAAAAGGGGACAAACCCAACTGCTGGGTCAAAACAGCCTAAATTTAATACATAATATATTATGTTATTGTAGATACGCTGACAAAGATAAAAAGATCATTTTGGCTAGATAAATGTGTGTGTGGGTTATTCACTTATTTATTTTCATATTTTGTCATATTTTCCCTAGCCCTCACAAATGTAAAGTTATGGGCCATCGACCGCCAGTGTTTCCAGACCATCATGATGAGGACCGGACTCATCAAGCATGCAGAGTACATGGACTTTCTCAAGAGGTGGGCTGCTTCTCCTTTCCTTTCTGTTTATTCTTCCTAACCCCTGATGGAAGAGGTCTGTCCCTCACCAGTATATAATAAAAGAAATGGATTTTCTTCATGAATGAATAACACAGAAGTGAATGGTTACACAATCCCAGATAACTCAGGCTTTACACTCGCTGTCCTTTGCTGTGTATCGTTAATCTCCCGGGTGAGGAGTTTTGATTGTAACATTTTGGAAGATGAAATGGCATATTACTCTCAATATGTCCTAATTTGTAAAAACGTGCACACACACAAAGAAAAACAAGTAGATAGAATTAAAAAAAATAGAAAGCTAGTGATTTTGTTTTTTTTTGTTTTTTTAGTACAAATGGTGAAGGATGAGTGGTTAGAAATCTCTAACCTGAAGTATGAGCAATAGTAATAGCATTGGCAAACACCTAATACAGTAAACTGTGGTCTAAGAAATGGAAAGAAAACAACGTTATGGTTTCATGCGTAATGAATTATTGAATCCTTGAACGAAGAGGTCAGGGTTTGTTTGTTTTTTTTAAAACAATCATTCAATCATGGACTCCAAAGCGTCTGGTGACACAAAACAGTGGCATTTTGCAATAAGATTCTCAAAGAAAATGACATTTCCCCAGAGGCCCCAAACCAGCTTTACTGGAAACCGTAGGCTGATGATGTCAAGGGATGCAAAGAACTTGGCTTTTGAAGGAAACGTAAGATGCCTATGAGCTGCATGGAGCAGTGAGAGAAGAAGTGTTGCATTCAGAATCAATATGCTGATGCCCCTCATGGACAATGTGACTGCAGAAATAGATGTATCCTTTGAGGAGTTGAAGATATTCAGAAGTCCATACTCACTCATGAATATGAACTATAGAAGTGTATTTTGTTTGCTCCAACTACTGTAAGAGCTATATTTATGGCACATTAAAATGCAAATTAATTTTTTACACATATTTACCCTTTATTATGTTCTAACAGAGGCAGAGCAAGTTAGTTAAAAATTAGCCTAGATAGACAAAAATGTTGTGTGCTAAAAGTAAATAGAATCAGTTTTGATTTGATGTTGACTTTAATGTCCCCTAGCTAATTTAAATCTGGAAAACCATATATGTTTAATTTGGAGATTTTTTGATTCTACTGAGAGTCAACTGAGAGATTTTCCAGTAAAGTTCTTTCTGGTTGACTAGTTTTCTTAGCTATTTAAAATGATTGGCAGCCCCTTTTTTATGAAAACCCATGAGAAGTCCACCCACACCTCAACCTGAGACATTATTTCTAAAACTGCAAATGTGTGCTTGTCAGTTTCTTGCATTTACACTGTTCATTCACCAGCATTTGTAGATTTCCGTTAATTTCTGATATTACTAAATTAATTTCATAAGACTCACAGACTTTTCCTTTGCAGCCCATTCTTTTGAAACTAACACTCGGATTGTTTCTCTGCTGGTCAGATATGATACTTTGTGACCTGATGGAAACGGCTTGATTTGTTGGCTCACAAAACCTCAAGCTTTCTTTTCATCTTTTTCACAGCGTTCCGACATTCCAAGGCCTTCCAGAAGAAATACTTAGCAAGCTAGCTGATGTGCTGGAGGAGGTAAGTCACTGAACTGTGTTGGATAAATCATTGTGTATTTTCTCAGAAGAGCCTGTTAACTCATAGTTCTTTACAACAACAAATGTAGACTCCATATTCTATTAAACATTGACTGGGCTGTCATTCATTAAATATCACTAGACAAAGGATTTGATAAAAAAATTTTTATTTATTTAAAAGGTCTTATTTTGTAAAAGGTCTTAATAAAGTATTTGATATATATATATATATATATATATATATATATATAATCGGACTTGTTATTAAATCTTGTTATTTCCATGAAAATCGTATTGTGCTACATCAGTGTGGATGGTCACTGGTGTACTGTTTCTAATGGTTTCATTGCAATGGGAACAGCAACTTTGGTGAAACTCTCTTGAGTATTATGGGATATTTTGCAATTAGATGTGAAAAAAAGGAAGTTGAAATCACATTAACATAGGATTTTTACAGAAGCGCATATTATTAGCAAAGATCCTTGGAGCTCATGGTTGGTCTGTATCGAACATTTTATATATGATCTCTATGGAGATATTGAATGGCATTTTAATTTCCAGAAACTGGTATTGGAAACCAGTGTTATTTTAATATCATTAATATACTATTATAGTTTGTATTAATATTTTGAATTATTTATTTTATATGATCTGCTTTCATTTTCATTTTCATTTTAGTTTATATTTATTTTTTAGTGTTTTTTTATGTCTATATAATCTTTAGGCCTAGATGTTGCTTTTAGGGTCCTGTACATGCGGTTCATATTCATTTCAAATAGGCCATGAACAATTATGTCCATTGCCCTAAGCAATAAACAACAACATAAGATATGTTGTCATGACAGTTTGCCTTATGAAATATAAGATCCTAACTGCCTATTCACCTTTAAGGCTTTTGTTCTGCAATAATTTTAAAACCTAGATGAGCTTAATTTGTCATGTTGACAAATCACACATTGGGCTTATTGAGTCAGAGAGAGTTTGGAGACATTTACTCAAAGGATATTCCCACACAGAATGATATTTATTTTTTGTTAAGGAAACAAAGAACACCAAATTGTTGTTGGCAGGCTGTTCTCAAGTGTAGACGATATAAGTGCCCTGAAGTGTTAAGTAAAGGACAGCTTTGACTTTTTGGTCCTCTCTTCAGAAACATTGCTTATGAACTAAATCTCTCACTTGCATGTGGATCTGCCCCCAAAAGATAAGTAAAGATGCAGAACTAGAATGCTAGAGACCAAATGGAGAAAATTATCTCTTTTATTTTATTGTTCTTTTTCATAATGTTGGGAAAGTAATGCAATTAACAGAGTAGCATTTGGACATCCTTGTTAATTAAGATTACATCAATGAATTAAAATGGCTTTGTTTTTTGAATGTTATTTGCCTGAAGGCCATTCATAACTTCATAGGCTTGTGTTTACAATGCAGCTGTTGGCGCCCTAATATAATACACATCACCACAACCATTTTCGCAGTGTTTCCCAGTGCATTACAATAAGTAATTAGTGCTTGCAAGGAAATCCCTCTTTTTTATTTTTGTTTTTTGTTCATTTTGGTTCTAATCTTTTTAAACTGTGCATATACAGTACTGTATATATCACCGGTCATTTTATTAGGAACATCTCTTCAACTCATTGTTAATGCAAATATCTAATCAGCCAATCGCATGGCAACAACCCAATGCATTTAGGCATGTAGATATGGTCAATCTGCTGAAGTTTAAATCGAGCATCAGAATGGGGAAGAAATATGATTTAAGTGACTTTGAATGTGGCATGGTTGTTGGTGCCAGACGTTCCAGTTTGAGTATTTCAGAAGCTGCTGATCTACTGGGATTTTAACGCACAACCATCCCTAGGATTTTCAGAGAATGGTCAGAAAAATAGAAAATATCCAGTGAGTGGCAAATCTGTGGGTGAAAATGCCTTGTTGATGCTGGAGGTCAGAGGAGAATGGCCAGACTGGTTCGAGCTGATAGAAAGGCAACCACAACTCAAATAAGCACTTGTTACAACCAAGGTATGCAGCAGAGCATCTCTGAATGTACAACACATCAAACCGTGAAGCAGATGGACTGCAGCAGCAGAAGACACACACCTGGTGCCGCTCCTGTCAGCTAAGAACAGGAAACTGAGGCTACAATTAGCACTGGCTCACCAAAGTTGGATAGTCGGGTTAGAAATTGGCATGAACCGTATTAAAACATGCATCCATCCTGCCTTGTATCAGTGGTTCAGGCTGCTGGTGGTGTAATGGTGTGGAGGATATTTTCTTGGCACACTTTTGGTACCAGTTGAGCATTGTTTAAATGCCAAAGCTTACCTGAGTATTGTTGCTGACTGTTTCCATCCTTTTATGACCACAGTGTACACATCTTGTGATGGCAACTTCCAGCAGGATAACGCGCCATGTCACAAAGCACAAAGAATGGACAAAGAAGGATTAGATCAATTCCTTTTTGAAACTCACTATCATGTTTTAATGGCAGAGCTGATGGACATGAAAACAGTTTCTAGAGTGACTAATGAGCTGCCTTCATACTGGGTCCCTACTGCTGCTTTTACTGCCCTGACTAAACATGATGAAAACAGCTCTGTGTTTTCTGCTTTGATCTCTCGCTCTGTTCTCTCTACATTCTCTTAGTCCAGGGGTCTTCAACTAAAATTGCTTGAGGTCCAGTAATGAACCCTCCTCGCCAGCCGAGGTCTGGGCAATTATATACCTAAAAACATGAATTGATGGTTTTTGCCAGACCAGGGTTTCTGTAGAATATTTAAGCTCAAATCAAAGACTTTAGGACATTTTTAAGACTTGCACAAATAAAAATAAAATGACTGTAAAAAGCATGATTTACGGTTCAGACACAGGTTTTCACAAAAACAAAAAGTTTTATAACTTGATAAACTTCACATTTAAGCATTTAAACCAAGAAAATGGAGTTATAAGTATCAATTATTAAACAATTATTATCAATCAATTATATTAATTAAATAACATATAAATATATATTACTGTCTCCTTAATTGTTTAGATTTTTATAATGCATTATCTTCTTGCCGATCCACCAGTTCACATTTACAACTCTGCGTGTTTGTAGTGTAAAAACATGGATTGATTTTCGCATTGGTCTGAACAAAAACAGCGGACCGGCTGATTGAAAATGCACATTCATTCTCTGCCAGCAGGAGGTGCTTTCGGAACGGCAGAAATAATGCGGTTTCCCTGGTAACGGCAGTACACAAACCAGCACCTGACTATGAAACATGCAGCACACATATTTATTCAATGAAATCAAAGCCTTTTGAAGTTTAATCGTCACATTAAGCCGTATCGCAATTCTTGTCTTTCCGTCCCCAAATTTAAGACCTCCTGAAATCATAAGACTTTCTTGTACCATTTAAGCACCGTAGGACCCAAACAGCTCTACTGAGCTGACCTTGATGTGCCTAATATAAATTAGATTATATTAGAAAATAGCGTTTGGCATTTATTTATTTCATTATGTCAAAATTCTTTGTGGTCCGGATGGACGCATCTCGCGGTCCGGATTTGGGAAGGAGTCTGCCAGTTGGCACCCCTCTTAGTCACTCATCCCTCTCTCTCTCTCTCTTTCTCTTTCTGTTTATGCTCTGTCTCAGCGGGTTCTCTGCTCTCTTTACTAGTTGCTGTAGGCTCAGGATAGTAAGTATCTCTGACCAAGTGTATGAATCTGCCTAACAAAACAGCTGCTTAAGTTCCTCAGGCATGTTTCATGATGTAACATTGGGTATGATACTAGCATTCTATGCTAGTTTTAGAAGTCTTTCCATTGATATCATTAGTAACATGAATTATTACAAAAATAATGCAATAAAAATTTAGCGTTTAATTGTGCCCTGACCCATGTGTAACTTCTGTGTTAAGCAATTTTCCTGCCACTGGAGCATTTCAAAATTTTTATATTTTTTATTCATTTTGCATTCAGTACAGGCCAGCTGCTACGACAGTCATCGTGCCTCACCAGACCACTCTTATCAAGAGCTGACAGCGCAGAATGAGTAAGGATTTGTTCGCAAAGGATGCATTGTTGTGTTCCAAAAAAGCCGGACGTTTTTGTGCCAAAAACATTACAATTTTCCAACTTCTCCCTGGCAGTTGGATTTAAATGGGTGCTTTTTTTTGCTGCTGACCCTCACAAAGCCATGGCAGTTCAGAATGAGTCATTTTTGCAGCTCAGTTTCAATAAATGCATTCTGTTTATACTGGAAAGGAAGATACAGTAGTATTCAGTTTAGAGCATATGACTCAACATAAGACATTAGTACATTCGACTATAATAGTAGAGCCAATGTATCACTGCAGGACAGAGGTTTTCAAACTTTTTGATGCTATGCACATAGTGTTAACGAAAACTATTACAAAAATATTTATTGACAACCTTTTTTCATGACTAAGTAAATGTGCCATCAAACCTTCTCCATTATGAACTATAATAAATCCAAACACTTACAAGACCTCTGTGCCACAATACAAAGTCTTTTTGTTGTCATTTTAATATAAAAACATAAATATAATTTGGAATTAATATTAGGAATTTCTCTGTTTTAGCTTCTGAGAGAAGCTTTTGAGTTTGACCAGTTTTCACAATTTAGGCCATCAAACCTTCTCCATTATGAACTATAATAAATCCAAACACTTACAAGACCTCTGTGCCACAATACAAAGTCTTTTTTTGTCATTTTAATATAAAAACATAAATATAATTTGGAATTAATATTAGGAATTTCTCTGTTTTAGCTTCTGAGAGAAGCTTTTGAGTTTGACCAGTTTTCACAATTTAGAGTGCGTTAATTTTTATTATAATTGAATAAATCAGGAAACTATAAGATCAAATAAACCATATGTATGAGTTGGCAGTGTCCTTACTTGAGCTTATAGGTGAAAGTGCAATAATTCTGATGAAAATTCTCAAGTGATAGCAATCGTGATCAATAATTGCATTTATAATGTTGAGCAAAA